GCAGAATCCAGCATTTGTTCTTGTTAAATTTTATTACAGTGATGATTGCCCAACACTCTAATCTATCTATATCCCTCTGCAAGGTCACCTGGTCTAGTTTGCACCTCCTAGTTTGGTATCATCAGCAAACTTGCTAATGGTGCATTCAACTTCTGCATCCAGATCATTGGTCTTGGAAATTTTGAAAAACTTAATAAACTTTATTTTGATTGACACCTGAAATGGAAAATATCTGTTGTGCATTTGTTGTCATGATTGTCAGCTACACTGATAGCTAAACTACCTATTTGTGAGGTTAACCATGAGCAATTCATACCACAACAGAACCAGAATAAAATAATTTTTAAATTTCCCATGACTCAAAACCTACTTCTTCCCACTCCAGAAGAAATGTCTTAGTGCACTTTTAATTTTCATGAAGAAGTAGATTGCTCCACATGTTGGGGACCCTGAACTCTCCCTGCCTTCATTGGAAAGTGACGCTGTGAAACACTGGTAGATATCAGCATCTTAATCTAAAGAAAGCTAAGCAGCATGAGTTCCTTCCACAGATTGAAACCTATGATAAACCACATCAAATGAGTGCTCCCTACTAATACTAACAAACATTGCAGAATATGTTGCAGAATATTTAAAGAAATTTAGCATACTGCAGTCACCATTTTGATGACTTCATATTCTGCAGTTCATTAGCTGCCAGTGAAACAATTGCACAATATTTAACTAACTCTTGAAGGATAGACAGGTATTCTAGTGTTTGTTAGAGCTTCAGATTAATATTAGAAGTAGAAACCTTTGCCACAGCTTTGCTGTGGTAAAAACAGCAGAGTAATGAATGCAAGAGATAAGAATGTAAAGAATGTCAAAATGCTTCTTTGTAGGTCTACAGACATGACTCAGAGCCACTCTCCATCTGGTCCACCGCAGTAAAGGGCATTACAGAGATTTTTAGCGTGCAAGCATGCTCTGTTCTACAGCCCCAAAAGCTCAGCAAGCTAAACCCCTACAAACAGTAAACATGCAAGACTTGCTGAGGTCTTTAGTAAGCAGGGCGGATTTTTTTTCTTCTGTGCAACGGATTTGTGAAGACGTGTTAACAAAAATTTTATTTTTTTTTAAAAAGGCAAAAAAGCAGGTCATTGGTCCTCTCTGCTGACTACAGCAGGTCATTTTGAAAAAAATGTTCAATTTTACATTAATTTACCTCAGTCCAGTTGCTCACTGTCCAGTCTGATGGGCACAAGACATCTCTGTTGCATGACAGATGGGTCTTTGGTTTAAGCAGGTGCTGGCACTCTGTGACAGCCAGTGCCTGCTCATCAGATCCCACCGTCTGGATGCAAAGAACAGTTCGCTTCTTCTGGCCTGTTGGGCCACATGTGGTCGAACATTTCTGCCATTCTCCTGCCCACCATCTGAAAACCAGGGGGGTAAGAAATATGAGAAAATAATCCATCACAAGCGTGTTAAGGAAAAGGTCAGAGACTACAAGAAAAAGAACCAGTAATTTAAATTCTGTATTTCATAGTAAGTCCAGATCACTCAAGCTTTCCCATCTGCCCTTGCTCCAGTATCAGCCACTCACTGAAAGATGTTGATCCCCAGACACCAGCAGGCACCAAGTATTATGTTTCTACAATGCATAAGAATCCACCAAGAAGATGGTCTTTCATATCCAAATTTGAGGAACTGCTAGTAAGTTTAGTAATCTATTTACTCTATCCTATTTATATGCTTATTGCTACCTCAGTACAGAAAGAGTTAACAAATGAGAATCACCAGAGTCTGCAATGACAGCACAGAGCTGGAGAAGGTCCTCTCACACATGTCTATGCAGCCAGCACTGCACATGTGTTATCACCAGAACGGGAAACAGCAAGGCACACAACCCCATAAACCAGGCTAGCCAGAGCCATGCCGCGTGTCTGCAGGCCTGTGGAGAGTGGTGTTCCCCAGGGGTCAGTACCGGGTCCAGCCTTGTTCAACGTATTCATCAATGACCTGGATGGAGGGACAGCACACCCTCAGCAAGTTTGCTGATGATACAAAACTGGGAGGAGTGTCAGATACACTGGAAGGCTGTGCGGCCATTCAGCGAGACCTGGGCAGGCTGGAGAGCTGAGTGGAAAGGAACCTAATGAAGTTCAGCAAAGGCAAGTGTAGAGTCCTGCACCGGGGGAGGAATAACCCCCGGCACCAGTACAGGTTGGGGGTTGACCTGCTGGAAAGCAGCCCTGCAGAGAAGGACCTGTGAGGCCTGGAGGACAGCAGATGAACCATGAGCCAGCAATGTGCCCTTGTGGCCAAGAAGGCCAATGGTGCCCTGGGGTGCACTAAGAGTGTGGCCAGCAGGTCAAGGGAGGTTCTTCTTCCTCCCTACTGTGCCCTGGTGAGGCCACATCTGGCATACTGTGTCAAGTTCTGGGCTCCCCAGTTCAAAAAAGACCAGGAACTACTGGAGAGAGTCCAGTGGAGGGGTACAAAGGTGATTAGAAGACAGGAGCATCTCTCTTATGAGGAAAGGCTGAGAGAGCTGGGTCTGTTTAGCCTGGAGAAGACTGAGAGGGGATCTTATCAATGCTTAGAAACACCTAAAGGGTGGATGTTGAGGGGATGGGACCAGACTCTTTTCAGTAGTGCCCAGTGACAGGACAAGGGGCAATGGGCACAAACTGGAACACAGGAAGTTCCATCTGAAGATAAGGAAGAACTTCTTTATTTTGAGGGTGACAGAGCACAGAACAGGCTGCCCAGAAAGGTTATGGAGTCTTCATCTCTGGAGATGTTCAAAACCCACCTGGATGCAGTTCCATGCAACATGCTCTAGGTGAACCTGCTTTGGTAGGGGGAATGGGACGAGACAATATCCAGAGGCCCCTTCCAACCCCTACCATTCTGTGATTCTGTAAGTCTATTTGAGAAGCAGCAGCATCAAGTGTGACATCTGCCTTAATATTTACCTTTATATTTTTTCCAAAACAAAAAAAACAAAAGTCTTTTTACTTCCAGTTTAGAGTGCCCTAGGCAAGAACACAGGTCCAAGCTCCTGTATAAAAAATCTGTCCCAGCTGTGAACTTGAAGCCACAAAGGCTCCTAGACAATATTACTGGTGTCCTGAGTTTTGAAGCAGGTCACAAAAAAGCCTTACGCTGAAAACAAAACAGGGATATATTTGGAAAACACTTTTCTAGACAGAAAGGCAGAAAAAATTGGCTTTGGCTTACAACCAACACCACTCTATTGCATTTTTTTTCCTTTTAAGTTCAATGAACCTAGAGCAAAACAATCCCATTCTGATCAATACATCAAAGTTCAACATACAGTTGTATAACAGGTTTTGCTCCTTGCTTTGTCTCCCATCTTACTCCATTTCTGGCTTCTTCAGTTTGCTGACAACCTCTCTCCCCTTTCCTCTGTAGTTTCCATGTTCCTTCTCTGTTTCCTGATTAATTTATTCTTCAGTTGCAAACGATCTGTCATTGACGTGAAAGGTGCTGATATCTATTCCTAATAACTTTTTTAAAAAAGTCTCAGAGCAATCAAGCTATGCACACAGCTCATTTGTGCAACCATCTGGTCTTCTCTGCAGTACCTACACCTACTCTCTTTAGTTATGTATACATACCATATTTTCTTTTAAATTACCCCAGAAGCCCTTTGGGACACAAACTGTTTTGCTGTGTGCTCTAGAATGCAGCCCATTGCCACCACAACCCTGTGCTGGGCCTCTGGACATTGCTGTAATAAAAGAACAAATTATTTTTCTCCTCCTTCTGCCTTTCTTTGGATTGTTTCTTGCTCTTCTAGGCTTCTGCAAACAACAGAGGAACACTAACAAGGTGTTAAAGAGAAAAAGCGAGTGCACCTCAGTGGAACACAGCAATAAAAAAGATAAAAATATATTATCACAACCTGAATCAAGTATTTCAGGGTTGTTTTCATCTCTTGCATCTTCTTTCCAATTTTATCATCTCTAGTATTTTGTAAATTGCTGACACTTCGGCACAAACACAACTTGAAGTATGTGAATTGCCCTATTAATTTTAATGGAAATAGATCACATATTCCAACCTATGGACATGCTAGGCTTACACCCCCCTCCTCACCACTTTCAAATGGCTCTGAGTGAGGGTTCATCAGTTTGCGGTTTAAATACTGAGCTCCTAGCAATAACTTATCAGAGTTTACACAACCTATCTTGATCTGCAGTAATGGTGCGTGATTAAGTACTGAACACAAAATATTTTTTAAAAGTTATGGAAGAAAGTAAGGTGCTCCAAAGTTAGGAAATTCCAGAATTGAGATTTTTATCTAATTGCACCATCGTCATCAATTTTAAATTGCATTTAGTCATGTAACTTCTTCTACAGAATCCTTCCTCATTCAGTGTGGGTAATAGATGGCACTGGTGAGCCAAGTAGTTAATCGCTCAGCACCTTGTTTACTACGTATACATCAAAAAACTTGCTCTGACTGAAAGTTTATTCTGATCAGAAACTGTAGTTTTTGATAGTGCATTTTCTGATTTCCATTCTAGGGTACATGCATGTGCCTTAAACACTCAAGCATCAGAAACTTAACACGGAAGCACACATGCTCTTGTCTCTTCATGTTTGCCACCGAGGACTTTTGAACTGTGGCATCCCAACCAAAGGGGAAGAAAGGCAAAGCAAGGATGGCAGAACACCTACCATCCATTTGTCTGTTCAGGTACTGGATGCCCTAAAGCAGGTCCTGGACCACACAGAAAGAAGCAGCACCCAAGTGACTGCTTTGACAAACACTATTTATCTTGGAGCTTCTGCTGTCTCCTCACACTGCAGAGGCATAGCCAAAACTAGAGGTAACTGCTGATCACACATTCAGAACTGACATAGCAATCTGAGAACCACATGTACAACTTCTAAGCTGAAATGACCAAGCTGTTGGACCTCCCAGCTGTAAGCTAGACTGGAGGGCACTGCCAGACAGACTTAGCTTTGGGCAGGTTATAAACAAGGCTTTCTTTAGATCACACATACAGAGAGATGCTTGGCAAAGAAAAGGATATAGAAAAGAAAACTACGTAGCTGCACTGATTGTGGTGAGTGACTGGGATGAGCTGGTGGAAACTGAAGCCTTATGGATCACCGTCAAGTACTTGTTCCTACCTCTGGTTTCTGATTGCATTTACCAACACAGTAACTGAGTGATTCTTAAATATGAATGCATTACTTGGTCCCTGCAAAGTGACAAGACTCTTATCTCCACAAGCCGGCATGGTGTGGAAAGATTGTGGTAACAAACAAACAAACAAGCAAAATGCATGATTTGGATAATTAATTTGTATGAGCACCAATTTTCCTGAGGCTGTCAAACTGGAGAGCAGTCTGCATGATGAAAGCATAACACCATTTTGTTTTCAGCTGCAGATGTGGGTGCTCAGCTCTTCTGCAATCCATTCTGGGACAGACAGGGAGAAAATCAGCCACCTTAAATGAGACGTATCTCTTTTCCTCCCATGATGAGTTTCCAAGGTCTGTAACAATTAAGATGGAGCCCAACAGCCTGATACAATCCTCACCTATACCTACATGATGTATGCTTAATGAGATGTGGATCCTGTTGAAAAAGTAGTAGCACAGGATTTTGGAACTAAAGTTTGCTATATTAGAGTCTATGGGGCTGAATGTTCCTTTCCCCCCCACCATATTATGTCACATCTAAAGAAAAGACTGTCTTCTTTCACAATGTATTTTTATAGCGTCAGTCATAGCATATACCAACAAGGCACTGATTTTCACTCTGTGTATTATAATAGAAACAAGATTTCCTATTCTTATTCCACTGTTGGAGTCTACTAAGCAGTCTGGAAGTGGGTCAATACAATAACAGCAGATAAAAAGCAGGAGATATCATGTAAAATTATTTATGGTTACTCTGTTCAAGTGGCTAGTCAGGTTAAAAAGGCTACAGACAATTTTCTTTACAGAGGAGAACAAAATTTTTATTCACAACACTATAAGCAGTTAAAATCTCACTCTTTTTCTTCAAGTAGTATCTATTGATTTATATATTAATATCTATGGAGCTAAATACCTGCCTACCAAAGAAACATATAACTGGAAACCATATTCCAGAGCATAATGTGGAAAAATGCATGCCTTTATGCTACAGTCTCGTTGCACTCCTGCTATGTGGTATCACTCAAGTTTTACATGACTGGTTGTATGACATTTTAACTCTCAACTGTTCATCCTCTTTATTTTGTTCTGAGTCAACATGTGGCATACATGCATTGCGACATTTTTAGTATTTTATTTGTTTTGCTCCAGATTCTTTTAGTAAAAAGTGTGGGAAAAATAAATGTAGAGCAAATCAGCTAACAAACAAGAATGTTAAGGCTTTGACTTCTCAGAAGCCTGTCATTTAAATGGTTTATAATTAACTTCCTGAAATGGATTAATAAGACAAGATCTGGTTTGTGAATGTCACGGACATTATAGTAATGTTATTCTTTGTCTGTAGTTACTGTTTGATAAATTATCTAATTCTGATTTAGTGGTCTAGTAGCTAGTTTCACGGTAGCATGTTTTCTATCAGTGCGATTTAGCAGATCATAGGAGGGAGGGTTATACAAGAGAACATCCTTCTTATCTTGGATAGAATGTTCCTATAAAGAAACCAGGTCACTCTTGGGAAGTATGAGATCATCTAACAGTTTCAGTCTGTGGCTGCAGCACTAACCAAAGGCCCCCTGCAGAGTTGTGTTTCAAACGGTTTCTTCAACTCTAGCTCAGAATTTAGCCACCTCTCTACAGAACACTTGGTCTTCAGCAGTTTCACAAGAACTCTCATATCTTGTATCACACTGTGTGGACAGTCACACCTTTCTCCACCATTCAGATTTTCTTTAGAAAAGAAACCACCAAAATGCACCAAGTGCTGTCTTGCATTTCAGATGAAGATGAGCAAACATCTGTCTGGATTAGAGGTGACACATTTGTCATGAAAAGTAAATACCAACTAAATCCCATGCTGGGACTACAGCCTGGAACAGAGACCAGATGTACAAAATGAAGGGCTTGGGAAAGGTGAATAGGAATTCATTCTTCACTGCCATCTCTTCCAGCAGAACAACTCAGGGCCACTAACAGAAGCTAGTGAGAGCCAGGTTCAAAATAACTAAAATGAGGTGGTGCTTCACACAGTAGGCATTAAAGTTGTGGAACTTCTTGCAGAGGAAGTTGTATATGATGGAAGTCTTACAAGGTTGCAGAGGGAACCTGGACAAGTACTTAGAAGAGAGGTCCATTGGAATTTACTGATCAGACAAGCCATAAAAGCCTCTGGAAATGCCTTGAATTAAAACCAGTTGAAAGCTGAAAGAGTATTAGAAAGAGATATAATTTATGCTTGCCTTGTCTTTACTCTTCCTTAGGCATGCAGGCCCTGCTGGGAGCCAGAATAGGAGATAGAGTCTTGGTCAACTACTACTACAGTCACTCTTATGTTATTAAGACAAAAATAAATACACAATGTGACTCTGAACTAAATTCATATGGGTTTCCTGCACTGCATTTTGTCAGTATTTTGCTGTCCTCAGAAGGATAATTACTGCTTTCCTCTGCAGTGCAGAATGAGCTTGAGAAGCCATGCTGGCAGCATATGAGAGCTTTTCTGCCTGGCTTGCAGAAGAGCTTGGTTCACACATCACATAATTCTACAGTCTGCTCAACAAGGGCCAAATTCTGCTTCCTCATGTTCATGAGCAGGCCTGAATAATGCAGTCACTTACAATAAATTGAATAAATTGAGCTCATTTGGAACTCTGGAATAAATAGCACAGTTTATATGTGCTATAAATAAAACCCACTCCCACATGTGGGTACCTTCAGCTCTTAGTCAACTAGTTAATAAGTTTGATTTACTGTCAATTGATTTCCTAGCAATCTACAAAGAATTATGAAATGCTGGTAGTTTATGCTTTTAACAGTCATTTATAGAGGCTACAAGCACAAAGATATAATTCCCAGAGGAGGCATCATATACTGTTGTGAAGATACTTGGAAACAACTAAGAAAACCAACAGCCACGCAGAATTTTTTACATTAAGGCTTCATTAAATTCACTGCTGGGAAATGTAATGCGATACACTTTAAGGGAATCATTGTAATGACTTGGATTTGATTCTGTTAACTAGA